CAAACAATTTCTTCGACACGTTTTTTACCAGCGTCTGTAGAACTTACGACCGAGATAAATCAAAGATTTTCCTTGATTTAAAAGTACGAACAATCTTCGGATTGTCACGGTTATTTTAACAAGAGACACTGTCTCCTCAAGTTCACTATCATTGTCATTTTACGTCAGTGATACTTATTTCACAGTACTTCCTGATTCAAAAATTGAAATTCCGCAATAATAGATTCCAAATAACATCCAAGACGCTAAAAGGTAACGTCCAAAAATGTATTAAAGGCATTGTTTTGATGAAGACCTTTGTTAAAATCGGGCTATAATCAATTAGAATTAGATTAGTTAAGGTGGTAACTGAATGACTAAATGTGGTTTTAAGTACTCGTATTATGTTAATTTTCTTTGTGTATTTTGTTTTAAATATTCACCTTGAACTTCTATTTATGCGTTCTTCATTCTTTATAGTAATTTGCCTATTTGTTAGTTTAACTCAAAAGTTAGTAAACTCAGATCAAGTTGTTTGCTTTGTAATTTTGTATATAGGAGAGGAGCTAAACCATACCATTTGCACAAAAGTTAAAAATGTCATATCTTAATTATACATATAGTTCAAATATGACATTATATCTTATTCATCACCATGTTTCTAAAGTGTTTTAAAAAATAACACCAGTCTTTAACTTCTTAATAAGTGTCATAAGCTTATCTTCCGTATCATTATTTTTTTCTGCTATGATGACTTGATGTTAGATCAGTTTTCAGATTATCTTGAACCAGCAGCTGTGTAAACATTTCTGCCTACAGACTAAATGGAATACCCCCAAAATCCATTTGTTGCATTTGCAAAACTTACATCTTTATGGTGAGTAAAAATTAGTAAGATTCTTTATTGGAACTTGCTACTTTTTTAAATCACAGTAGCTAGTAAAAATTGAGCAACAATACAGAGGTACTGTTTAGGCAACAGCATTAAAAAAAAACAACATAAATTATTTAGCGTCCTTTTTATCACAAACTTTTTAGACGTAAGGTGATGTTTAACCATGTTGAGAAATAAATACACATCATCAATTACATTACTTCAAGCTATACAAAATCGCTTATCATAAGTCATCGAAATATTATAGCACAGATACAAAGAATTTTGAAATCTTACAGATGCTACGACAGTCGCTCTGCAAAATCACAACCTTTACGATTGTTTCAAATGTAGAATGTTTAGAAGGAGGTTAATCACTGCGACGTTACAGATCTGTTGTGTTTCCCTTTCTTAAGTTATAACTGGTTATAACTCATCATACAGTCTCAGGTCTTTGACAAAAGCCAGTATCTGAGACAGCTCCACAGAGGCCATCTCTCCATCTTTGATAACAGCCGTACCAAAGTTTATGGTACGAATGGTTGTTGTCTGGGCGCACTCAGTGATAAGGTGTTCGGGTGTCCCCATTTTCCCCACAGAACCTGCATTCGCCGTTGTTTCTCCGCTACACTCTACTGAGGTGTTCGTTGAGGAGACAGTGCCCTGTTAAAAGCTGAACATCGATAAAACTAAAATCATCTGCACTCCCCCGGAAAATCACAACAATGCTATAAAAATCGGAGAAGAACTATTGGAATATGTAGCGGAATTCAATTACCTCGGCAGTTTGATTTCGGAAAAGGCCAATATTGACTCTGCAATTCAACACAGGATTAGCAGCGCCTCAAGAGCATTCTGGAAATTAAAAGACAGGGTTTTCTACAATCATGATTTGAGCACAAAACCGAAACTTGCAGTGTACCGAGCAATAATAATTCCCACCATGTTATACGGAAGCGAAACCTGGGTGCCGTATGCCGTACCGCCGACACATGAAAGCATTAAACAAGTTGCAACAGAGACATCTTAGACAACTCTTAAGAATAAAATGGTTCCATCATGTCTCAAACGTATCGGTCCTTGAAAAAGCTAACTGCGAGAGTATTGAAGTCATGATTACCAAGTCCCGCTTAAGATGGGTTGGTCACGTATGCAGAATGCAGGAAAACCGCATACCAAAATCTCTGCTTTACGGTGAGCTTGTAGACAGTAAATGCGGCCTCTTTTTGGTGGACAACTCAAAAGGTACAAGGATGTTTTCCACGAAAACTTAAAGGGTATTAACAAGCAGAATAAATGGGAAGAAGCAGCTCACGATAAAACGAAATGGATAAAAATTGTAAAGTCAATTAACAGCGACAACCAAAAAGTAAAGAGGCAACAAAGCAATGAGATTTTCGAATGTCTGGAGTGCGGTAGACAGATAACATCACGTATCGGGCTTTTCAGTCACAGAAGAGCTCATAAAAGAAAACGCCTTGCGTGACCATCTTCTGATGCGCATCAAATACTCGTCAGCGAGTAGTGGCAGTATGTATGTATGTATGTCCTGTTAAAAACTGTTGTTCTTACTTAAATCATGGAAAATCTTTGATTTTTCTCGGTCGTAAGTTCTGAGAAACTTTTTCGAGTGTCTTAGACCGTTGGAGGATTTCCATTCTAGGTTACGGAGGGAGTCCTCTAGGTTCTTCAGTTTCGCTTTAAGCTGGTTTCCGCTTGGAAAGCAGAACGGTTCTGGTCCATTTAGTGGAGTGTCAGCTTCTTTTCTAGCTAGATCGTTTACTTTTTTCATCCTTTGATGAGCGGGCACTCATAGTAGGAGGACTTTATATTCTTTGCCTAATTTCATTATTTTTCAGCTTCCCTAGGCATTCTTTGACCAACATCGAATTGATGGTTACCGAATTGATCGCCTTTAGTGCTGCTTGACTATCGGATAAGATGGCTTGTATCAAATAGACTGGCGTTAAATAACTTGGCAAGTGTCTAAATCGACTGTTACTCACGAGATATCCGATCTCATCCGGCCTCGAACCGGCGTGAATGAACAGTGTGTGTCAATAGATTTTACACTTTTGCCTTTTTGCACGATACAGAGTTTCGAACTGGTCACCCGTCCATCCACTAGTATCGCGTTACGTCGCTTAACTTCGGTGTTCTAATGGGAACCGGTGTTTTGACGAAGCTGGGCCGTTGCTTGTAAAAATAAAATTTATTTTTATATCAATATAGGTCCGATTCTGCTTTATTTCGTAGTTAAAGGGTGTTGAACAAGGCGAAGCCAGATCTGTCATGCACAGGTTAATTCACGGTCAGCAGCACATAAGCCAAACGCATAGTGCTGCTAACCAGAATCGAAGAGCTAAAAGCAGACAAAGTATTGGGGATTACCAATTGATGCAACAGCTACTAGGTATAGCTTCAACAAAAAATTTAATATAACCATACCAGGAAGGGAAGACTGGAGTAAAGGTGTACCCATTCAAGCTGAGGCAACCTAGTATAGACGGCTCAAAAACGTCAGAAGGCGTAGGAGCTGGGATAGTAGGGCCGAAACAAGGGAGATCCTTCCACGTAAGCCTATCTAAGGATGTCACAATTTTCCAGGCAGAAATAACGGCAATCCACTATTGTGTAGTAGAAATAATAAGGCAACAAAGAACAAATCGTTCTGTGGCCATCTTCACAGACAGCCAAGCGGCGCTAAAGGCACTCAGCTCCGCGGAGGTCAATTCTAGACTAGTGTGGGACTGTGTGCGTGCTCTGAATACTTTGGGCGAACGTAGCACTGTTACGTTGGCCTGGGTGCCAGGGCACGAGGGTGACAAGGGTAACGAAAAGGCAGATAAAAGGGCCAAGCAAGGCTCATCAATGCCATTCATAGGCCCAGAACCCTTCTGCGGCGTTGCAAAGACGGTCACGAGAATGGCCACGGAACGATGGGTGGCCAACAAATCTCTAGAATGGTGGAGAAACTCAGCAGGGCAGAGACAGGCGAAAAGGTTCATTGTAGAACATTCGCCAAAATTCACGGTTGACTTGATAAGCAAGGACAAAAAGACAGTCAAAGCTGTAGTAGGTCTAATAACAGGGCATTGTTAGCTAAATAGGCATCTAAAGCTGATGGGATTGATAGGCGAAGCTATGTGTAGGTTCTGCCAATCTGAAGAAGAAACGTCAGAACACATTTTATGTTGGTGTGACAGCCTGGTAAATGTGCGGTTCCCGGTAATAGGCAATGATAGGCCATCGCCAAGGAGCTACATGGAGGGTTCAGTCTCCAAGTTGCTAGACTTTGTGAAAAGGATAGGACTGGCGAATGTAATCTAAGGATCAGAAAAGGACCACAATAGATCTGAGAAGGTCGCAGTGGATCAGGCCAAAAGCCACCTCTAAGAATCTAATCTAAATCTAATCTACAGGGTGTTGAAGTCTTAATTTTTGTTCGATTTATTATATTTTCTTCCAACTGCTTCTTCGATTCGGATGAAATTTTGAGGGTTAAAGTTACTATAAGTGAAACATATTTTAATTCTAAAAAAGTGTCGACATTTTCACGAGGGACGTACATATGGGTAATCATTGAAATATTTTTCTAAAAAAATATGTACGCCAGTGAGTTTTTTTCGCTTGTAAAATTGTGTAGATTGTTTAATGTCGATTAAAAGTGGTCTCTTGATATTTTGTCGATTTCGATATCCTTGATGAGATAAACGCAATTTTATTAATCACAATAATTAATAAAATTAAAATAAAATTAATAAATTATTTATTTAATCTAATTTATTATGCCCGCTATCGTGACCGCTTTGGCAATAAGGTGCCAGGCAGTCATATACATGACGGCTCTCTGTATTTGTCACATTTGTTTAAAATAAATCATATTGTTGGTTCAACATTAAAATTTCTAGATATGTACTAACTGTCTTTAATCCAAAAATGTGTTCGACACCTGGGGTAATTTTTGATAATTTCTGTCTGGCAGTCAAGCTGTTAATCAAATCACGTAATCTCACGTTATACAGACTAAACTGTCTTGTGAGTGAATATAACATTTCGACAGACGATATTAGTACATTGAGCGCACAGCACAATACACAACGTAGAAAAGAATCTAAAGTATTTTCCATCGAAACTAACAACTTACCTTGAACGAAGACACATAGCAATCCAATTAATGCCACTGCACGCATTATCGAACCCATATTTTCTTCACTTCACTCACACAACAATTCAATGTACATAACTTTTTCCACTTTCAAATCACCCGAAACATTTCCCTAGGTCCTATCATAGTTTTCGATAAATCCACAGAGTATTTTTAACAGAAAGTACGGTTGGACTCGGTCGCGAAACACTTTTACTTCTTCACCTGTTCGACTAGCGCGAAGAAAAAAGTGAAACGGTGACGTAAAAGTTGACGGTCAAGCGGTGGCAGCGACAGCAGGAACGACCACTGTCGAAGACGCAAAACGACTGAGCGCCGAAGAGAAACAAGAAGTAAGCGAACGCCAGCAGGAGCGGACTTGATGAATAGCAGGACTGTGCGCCGCCCGCCGGACTCCCATCCCGTCTGGATGTGGGAGTGACGGCGTGTGCGGGATAATGGGCTCTAAACCTGGACGCTAATTCGTTTTGCCGAAGAGGGCGTTTAATTCTATTTGTTATGATTAATTGTGTTGATTAAAGGCAAAAGTGTCCTATTAGGGTTTAATGTATAGAGTACAGAGGTAATAAACATTAAGGTGAAAAGTTATGTTATGGAAGTTTTCTTCTTACAGTCCCATACTCTATAGAGAGCTTAGCTCTTGCATGTACTTGTAATATGTGCCATCAGTGTTTCATCAGTTTGCCAAAATTCATTACAGAACTTCAATACGCTGATGACTGCGCTCTAGTTGCAAAAACGTTACAGCAACTACAAGAAATGTTGAACACATACATATACCTGGGCATATGAGGCTTTGGGTCTTAAGCTGAATATCGAAAAAACTAAAATTGTGTGCACTCCCCGGAAGGTCATGACAATGCTATAAAAATCGGAGAAGAATTATTGGAATATGTAGCGGAATTCAATTACCTCGGCAGTTTGATTTCGGAAAAGGCCAATATCGACTCTGAAATTCAGTACAGGATTAGCAGCGCCTCAAGAGAATTCTGGAAATGAAAAAACAGGCTTTTCTACAATCATGACTTTAGCACAAAAACGAAACTTGCAGTGTACCGAGCAATAATAATCCCCATCATGTTATATGGAAGCGAAACCTGGGTGCCGTACCGCCGCACAGTGTAACGAAATCGGGAAATGCGGGACATTAGCCCAAAAAACAAAAAATTTAATTCATCAAGTTTTTTATATAGATGGATAAAGGACATCCCAGAGCTCCACCATGTGAGATATTTCTTGAGTTGACCTCTTAGTCGGGGAGTTATGGCGGGTTAAAGTTATGGTTTCCTTAATTTACCAAATCTGTACAAAAATTTCATACAATGAAATTTATTATTTTCAGAAGTTTCCTTGTGTTGTTCAATTCCAACAATTTTTTCCGTAATGAGAGGTCTTTTACCAACAACAAACCTGAACAAAATGTCCCAATTTTTTTCAAGTCTAGTTTCTACATGTTTATTATGACTTTCAAAAAAACGCTTACATTCGCGCAAGGTTATATATACAAAATATCATAGAGTGAACCTTCTAGTATACTGTTACATATAAATTTCATCCACCTAGATCCGAACCTGGAAGAAAAAAATAAATTTCTTCGGCAATAATTACGTTTTCCATTGATTCGACCGTAGTTTGGTGACATGAAAGAGACATCTGAACTATTTGTTTCTGTTTAGAAAGGAAATAAAGAAATTATTGCAATATACTCGAGAAAATAGAAATTCCTGCTAAAATAAAACACGTGGTACGAGGTCGGCTTACCTTGGAGGGTTGTAGTCTTCTCCTGGGTGGCCACCCTGTATCTGGATCAGGAACAACTACTCGCACGAGTAAACGGTACCGAATTGGTAAGACCTTTTGAAGATTTAAAATAAAGTTATTTGCGGCGGCGGCGGTTAGCACGTTAAATCGATCTCTGGATAGATGCGGTTCTTGCGGGATCTTTCGATCAAGTGTATTGTGGTCCAAAGGTTAATTGACGCAGGCGTGTTTCAGCCCTTTGGAATAACCTCCCTAGTACCACATATGCGTATACAATAAATAATAGAATAAATTAATATTGAATTTAAAATTAAAAGAGATAAAATTAAATATATTTTGAGAGTTTCCTAAACAGTTTCCCTTTACGGTTGGTATTATATGCCTTCAAGCATTCATATGCTTTTGATTCATGGTGCAGATATTTGTAAACGTTTTCAATTTATACCCATCGGCAATATGTCCGAAGAAGCATCTGAATCAAGAAACAAAGAATTTCGATCGTTGTTTCGAGAGTGGTTGTAAGGAAACTATTGAAGATATATTGCACAACTAGTAAACACTGTATCACACAATTTTATCAATATAAACCTGCGTGTATCTCATATGTATATGTTAGAACTAGATGAACACTTAGGTTCACTTTAACCTATTTTGTTTTTCATGTGTCTCCCTTGTAGAAACGTAATTTTATTTGAACGTGCTGTATGGGTGTCATCATTGACATTAATTAAACATCTTGACTAAATAGTTATTAAACTGAAATCATAAATTTGAAATATTTTTGTGCCAAAAGTTCAACAGAAACTGTTTTATCATCATTTTTTGCAGAAAAATTTATGATTAATTTAAAAAAAAATAAATTTACAAATTTATTATTTCAGTGAAATAACTATCTACTCAACGTGTTTATTTTTCGTCAATAATGACATGTTTTATTTCCATTCTAAATATCTTGAGAACGGTTGCTCGTAGCGATTTTTACAAAGAGATATTTTTTACGTAAAAAGTCTCAGAGATGTATATTTTTTCACTCTGTAGTTTTATACAGGTACGGACAAAAAGTTATTACGCTTCAAAACAGTGAAAACACATGTAGGTGGCGCCCTCTACTAGTAGGAGTCATATTGACATCAAAATCAAATTTCTCATGTCAAAAAATTCCCAGACACCAATTTTCATCCAAATATTGACGTTACTTCAGAAATTATTTGGAAACAATCGAAATAAAAATGAAATTTCTACACCCAGTATCTCTGAAACGAAGCATTATAGGACCTACATTTATACGAACTTTTTTATTTCTTTTTATCTGCAGAATATGCTGCCGAAGTTTCCGGAATACAATTCGGACCACCCTGTATAATGAGAAACAAATAAATTCTGTTAATTCAAACATCCTTATCAAAACCAGATTTATCTACGATGTAATATACTTACGCGAAACAGAAACAAGGAGTAATTGAAAGAAGAAATACAGTTGATTAATAGGAGATGGGCAGGACTCCTCACCGTAATCCTGTCTAGAGATAGGGGAGTGACGCGTGTGCGGAATAATGGCCTTTAAACCTGAAAGTTAATCGATTTAGCCGAAGAAAGCGTTTAATTCTATTTGTTACGGCTAATTGTGTTAATTAAAGCTACAAGTATGTACTTATGGGTTTAATTTTCACAGAAATAGTAAACACAAAAGGTTAAAAATTATGCTATAAATATTTTAACGTGTTTAGAAAGTAAGTGTTTAGAAAAATCAAAACTTAAAAAAAATTAACAAAAATGTTCGAATAAAAAATCTGTTTCTTATTAGGTAGTTTTGTTTAGAACTAATAGAATATTAAGGTTTAGGTACGTAAGATAAAATGCTGATATCTGAATGTAACATATCTCCAGGAACAATGATGTAAATTAGGACACGCTCTTACCTAAATCTGCATTGTGACTAAACGTCAAACAGAAATAAGGAGTAAGCAAATGAAAGGGCATAAATACACTTGATTAATAGGAAAAGGGCAGGGTTCTCCTTCAGCCAGAGTCCTATCTGGACGTGGTAGTGACAGCGTGTGCGAGATAATGGACACTAAACCTCGATGCTAATTGATTTTGCCGAACAAAGCGTTTAATTATATTTATTATAACTAATTCTATTAATTACAGTTAATTAACATCTCCGAATATTAACAATAAACTGTGGTGTTTAAAGATTTAATTTGCACAGAAATAATACATAAAGAAAGCTATGGTATAAATGTTTTAACTTTGGCTTAATTTAGTTCGAAAAGAGACGACTGTGAAAATTGCTAATTAAATATTAATAAATAAATAATTATTTACACTGCAGAAACCAGAAGTAAGAAAACACTGTATAAGAACAGAATTTGTATCAAAATTTATTAAAAATATAAGTACCTAGTATAACAACATACTAAAATAGTAAACACTGATATATCGCCACGATTTGGTGGACCTCGTTTAGTCATTTTTTTCTCCTCTTTTCCTTCCAAGCTGGTTTATTAGCATACTCATTCATCGAGCACTCTGTTGGACTTTGTTGTATTTTATTTCCAGATTAACAATCTCACCCTGAAATTTTATATGAAACTGATTATTGAATATTAAACATATCTGTATATTGATCCATCAATAACTTACCGAATATCAGTGTAAGAAGTTCTTTGAAATGTTTGAATCTTTCTTTCTCTGGTCCATTTAGATTTTTATTATTTCCAAATTAAAAAAAAATTATATTGCAGAGCTAACTCAGCTAACCTCTTTATTATTATATGAGAATATTTGGAGTTTTCATTCATTGGAGTCAAAATTTGGTAAATTGGGTATCGAGTAAGGGAAGAGTCGCTGCTATAATATTAAAAATACTCTTAGGAAGGTGTAACAAGGTAATTAGAAACTTGTACTTACATTAAAATCTCTTTTAAACTACACACAAACAGAACATTTATATAGAGCTTCCGAATGATAAAACAATAATGGCTGCTAACACATACCACTCCTAGAAAGGAGAAAGAAAAGAGGACACATAAGGTCTGTTCGTTTTCCTGTTATTATCGATTCTGAATCGTCCTAGAACTCTCCAGCGCATGCGCAAATGAAATAATGTCTTTATATTTCCTTCTGCGCATACGCATCACAATTCTAGGACGGTTCAGAATCGGTAATAACAGGAAAACGAAAAAAGCTGTAAGATACACTTAGTCGGTGTGTCTACGCTGAGGCTATCCGCGCATGCGCACACCTTCATTTCATACTAGAATGTAGACACAACAGTACACTATTACAAAGTGTCTATATAGATATTTATATTATGTGTATACGTCACATTTTTACAAGGTGTGTACTATAGGCACAACTATGACACGAAGTATCACACATACATATGACTTATACATTGTATGTCTCATATACCGACGTCAGATTTCATCATTTTAATAATTATTTGTTACGTTACAAAAAACTCTTTAGAATCTTGAGTGCATACGGTATACAACTAGTAAACACTGTATAACACAATTCTATCAATATAAACCTGC